TAGATTAATAGAGCAGAGTAGATATTGCATAATAATTATTAAAACGATCGGAGTTTGATTAGAGTCACCCTCTCCCTTAAATAAAACCCCTATCCAGCAAACGGAAATGAATTGAAATGGATTAAAAAATTTTAATTCATCCAAAACCGTATTGTAAATCCATAAAAATAAATTGGATTCCATATAAAAAATTTGTATACATGTAAAAGTTTAAATAAATTAAAGTAAAATTAAATGAAATTCTATACTTTTATTATTTTAAAACTTTTATACAAAAAATATATCTTAGCAATATAATAAAAGAAACGTATTAATATAAAATAAACATAAAAGCAATTAATTTATTAATTAAAAATAAGGAATTTACATATGTAACATTTAATGTACATATTTACGTAATTCTTTTTATGTTTCTTTTAACTATTAAATGAAATAGAATTCATGATATATTTTTACGGTACAACTTTTTTTTAACTTAGTTGAATTAAAATGAAAAATTTCTTATTTATAATTCTGAATAAAATAGCATTTATAATGCATTTTTTAATGAAATAATGGATTTTCTACTTACAATTTTGAATAGTATTTATGGCCCATTTTAAGAAAATAACTAACTCGGTTCGGAATACACCCACAGTTGAATGGAGATCGTTTAAACTTGGCGAACTTCATCACAAGAAACACGATAGTGTTTATCTTACACTGAGTTGTGCAAAACGATAACATTGCACGTAATGATGTAATAATGAGTTGCCACATGAATGGCAAACATCACCAGACATTTAACGAACAAATTTGTTTAATTTTAGCATCAATATAATATTGACGATTGCATTGCTCTTTCTAAAATTTAGAATAAATCCCCAATATTTAATTGCTATTGCTTCAAACTGAGAATTATATTATATATGATAAAAATACACCCTTAAAGAAAAATCAATTAATATTACAAATTATTTATCTTTAATATAAATATATTAAAAATGTTGAACAATTAATTTTAAAATATACAAAATATTTGAAATAATTAATCACCACTTTCCAACATTAAATTTCTGCATAGATGGCCTACATATTTAATTATTATAATTGTAGATTTATAATTCTTTCAAGTTCGTTGTCTCTGTAATGATAATAATTTTTTAATTATGTTTTGAATTACTATATATAATTATATATTTTAGATATTTCCAAAAAAATTAATGGAAATTTTTCTCGTTAAACAAATACACGCAATATTCTCGATTTTGCTCCGCCAAGTCTAAAATCTGAATGACTCTTTGAAAAAAAAAAAGTTTAAAGAATGCGTGTCCGCGAGAATCTTGTCTTATTTATAAGATCGTGTGATAGCTCGGTATCAGACTGGTCAATTAATATCTTTTTTCTGCCGCTTCATTCTACTTTCGAGTAGCGCAGACATCTGAAATTCACGACTCTCGTTGTGCAATATGTACTTTATTTTTATGCGAATTTCGCGGTAACAGAATGACTATCGGAAAGCACATTTATATAACCCATCGCGCGAATAAGAACCTTGAAGAATTATCCAGTCCCGTATCTCGATTGTGTACAAACACGTATATATACAATACGATCTTAGGGATCTTTATCGTGTGTTATTAAGTACAAATTACTCGACACATCACGCGCGAAGCGTTTCTTTTCCACGTACATGTGTGCCACCATAATGTCGTCATCACGTTCCGTCGAGTTTCTCACTTGTGAGAAACTTTAATATCAATGGCACAATACCCCCTAATAATATAATTTATTGTTAAATAAATTATTATTATTTAGCAATATTAGTCTAATACATCTCCAATGTACAAGCAATGTCTCGTTAATGAATGCGGTGATTACCGTTTTTGACAAAAATAAAAATAATCATCAAAATTACAAGAATTGGAATCTCGTATTTTTCTAAATAGCACAAAAAGTCCGAAAAAAATTTTTTTTTATTTCCCATTTAGGAAATGAATTACTATTTCGTTCCATTTCTGTTCTAAAAATATTTTCTGAGAGTCTCAATTAAAAGATTTCACTATTATGTCATCAATTTCATAAGCTCTTTTTTTAGATTCAAGGGATATTCTTTTCTAGTCTTTTTCTATTTCTTAATTCTGTATAAAAATAAATCATACTTTCGTTTTTATGGAAATTATACTTTTATTAAAAGTACATATATATATATATAAATTTTGCATATTTAATATAAATATATTAATTGTATATCTTTTTGAATTCTTTTTGAGTTCATGCCTAACAAATTATATTAATTCATAAAATAATTTTAAAAAATTAATATTTTTCGTGTTTAAATGGATTATAGTTGTACCATCTGGATGCAGAAATCAAAGTTCAATGTTCTGTGCCATATGCGAAAAACAAAGAGAAAGAAAGAACGTTAACCACGAAAACATATCAGGATCATCATCACCTGAATTCAGCGAAATTATATCAGCGCCAGCGTTTCGTCACAAGTCGAAAATAATCCGCTGACATGGCACATGCGGATGTAAACATATGAAATTACATACGAATCCATGTCCAACAATACAATACAGGGTACTGAACGGCTGACGCAAGGGGGTAACCACTAGCTAAAATATTGTCCCACAGATTACATGATTTCATCTGATTACAAATAATTTTTTTCACTACTATAAAGTAATTTGGTAAAATATACGATTTTATTTAATATTATACAATGATTTCTCGTGGTTGCATATATAATTATCGGATTATACATATAGAGATTTTATATAAATTTTATAATAATTTCAAGGATTCTGTCCCATAGATTACATTAAGGAGGTTGTAAGGCAAATGCAATATGTTAAGAACTACTTGAAAAAATTACAGCCTATTCTAAATTTCATTTAATAATAATACAAAA